TCCTACAATATTGCAAAGTACAAACACTGCATGTTAAAATGCACTTGGTTTTTAAAAAATGCTACACACAAGTAAGCAATTTTTCTTCCCCTTGCTTCTTCAGTGCCATGTTGCGATGGCGATCCTGTTTGTATTATCTCCACACAGTCATATGCTGAGCGTGATGCTGTGAATGGCGTTTGCTGGGATTTTAGCATCTGATTCTTCGCCGCTGATCCTGAAGATCACAGAGGTGTTGGAGGGGATGGTGGTGGTGGCATTCAGGGATTTCCCCAGCCAGCTGTTAGATCCACGCTTATACATTTTAACGGTTACCTGCAAAGTGCCAAAGAGAGAAATAATTAGAAAATTTGTTTTAGGACCGTGTATACAACCTACGTGGTGGTGGGGTGGGGGGATAAAGTCATTCTGCCTGGTGGAAAAAAGGACTTATTTTATTGGTGTAGAAAGTAAAGATCTTTGTTTACCTTGAGGTCAACTTTACCCAGAAGTCTAGGTTTGGTAATCTATTATCCTTCGTGGATATTCTAAGGAATAATAGGACAAAAATAGAACTATACTTGGAAGTTTTTTTAGACATCAAGATGATCTACATGATAACTATATGAATTTGTATACAACCGAATCATAAAGTCACTTCCAGATTAATTGAATTTCCAACACCATCTACAACATATAACTCAGAAAGAAAGTCTGTTCCACTGTTGGATTTTAAGTTACTGATGCAGTGAATTGCATTTTGAATGAGGTTTTTCAGCTGTTGTCTTTTAAGCTCTCTATAAAACTGAAGTAGAAGGTACTGGTATATATTTAGATGCATCACACCTGCAACTTACTAAAGTAGTACTTCAGGTAATTATGTTTTTCATGGCTGGAAAATCTACAGTTTCTTTTGTAATCACTGTATCAGTTTATAACAATGTTGAATGAAGGTACTTTCACCTGCTCCTTGTTACAATGGGTGGCTCTGCATATGAGTTTTAACGGCAGATGCCACGACCCAAAAGGGGATTTATGTCTTGCGCTAGAATAAGACCAGCGACTTGGCAATTGAATGTGTAAACCACAACACTATAGAATCAATTATAATATGTAAACCTTACTAAAATAATTGTAGCGTATGCATTTATGTCTGTCTCCTCCCATCCTTAACTGCTGGGCCAATCTTAAATGAAACCTTGCGCCAACACTGACACGCATACAGCGATTATTACCATCTATGTTTTGTTTTTGTTTGTTTTGTTTTTTTAAAGATGTATTATAATACCCAAATCTGTATCTGACTTACCTCTAAATATGCAATGTGGAATTAGAAATAAAGTTCTTGGATATCACAGACATATAGCTCAACAGATGATGATTAATTATGGTAAAGTAGAAGTCATTTCTGACGACCACCAAGACTGCATGACCCCATGTAAATTTTAAAATGTTATAAATTGTAAAACTGTATTTTTAATTTGACATTTTTTTGTAGTTGTTAATTATTCATGTATTATATACAGAACAGATTTAAATATAGACGTTCACTTATTTACTATGAAGTCAGCAGTTTGAGGTTAACTGATCAGTGGGCAGGTACATTTCAGGTAAGATGTGTACAATGTGTATTACAACTGGGATCTTAAATTATTGACCAAACAAAATAATACATGCACTATATTACTATATGTCTTTTTTAAAATTACAGGGTAAAGGCACATGTTTTTCTTTTTTTAGATTATCACGGACAACACCAACATTAAGGCATTTACTTAAACATCAAACTCAAGGTTTACAGGTTAGGTTTTGTGTGTCTTATAACTGAATATAGAAATAATACATAATATCAAAGAAATAATAAATTATATAAGAAAAGGTAAAACTAGTAAAATATTTGCCAGTCTGCTAGTTTTGTTCATCAATATAATGCCCATCTACGTGGCCTAGTCTAGTCTGAATTAGGTCAACTGTTTTACACAGTAAAACAAACCAGATTCTGCTTCTATTGGATGCTAATCCTTCAATACTCCTTAAAACATATTTAGAAACGTTCTTTTCAAGCTTGTTCGAATATTGAGCTCGAACTCTGTTAGAACAGTGATCCAAACGTTAGCCCGAAACAGACTAAATAATAAATTAACCTCGGTCTCACTGTGAATTTTAATTCCCTCTGCATCTTGAATGGAGTCATACCTCTCTTGATTCTATGTAGGTTGTAGGGCATAATACGCTTTAACACTACAAAAACTGCCTGTTATGTTTCGAGCCCGACAATGGAAGCCTTAACTAGATTTAGACATGCAGGTAATTGAACCACATCCATTTCAAAAAGAATGCCTTGCTGCATCTCTTGTTTGGCTGCATTTACCGGGGATAACAGAATATTACAGTGCCTTTTCACAGTTCCATTTTCTTTCACTTTAGCATTAGGCAATTTTTCAATTATTATTTTTTTTTCCATGTACTTTCATCCCCGGCTCTCCATAATGTCTGGGCCTTTTAGTTAATGGTAGCGACAGTCAGAGCCCAGTATATCGGCCCTTGTCCATTTTGCAGGTCATTGTGAAAGCCCAATAGGCCTTTTATTACGCCGACATCAAAAGGCAGATAAGCATTAGAGGTGGGGAAAATACCCTGCACTAGATATGTTCCCTCTTTCCTTTGTCTGCTATTGAAAGTGATCATTTTAATAGTGAAGAGGTTGGTGAGCTTTGGGGCTGATGGAAAGTGCGACACCCCTGACAGCCTACGAATATGAGCAAGTCGATAACACAACATGAGCACACAGTACACCCTCAACACCTGCACACTCTTGCTGCTAACCTAATTATCTACAACAAAGGCCACTGCGATTTCAGACACACATCTCTCCAGCATTTACTTACTTATTACTGTGCATTAAAACAGGGATAAAGATGAAAAAAAGCGAAACAATTGCGTCTTATATTGCAGCCTTGGCCAAATGCCACGTGGCTTCTGCTACAATAGCATCAGACACTTCAGAGTGAGTGAGTGTCTATTAATTTGGGATACATGAAAAAATAGCTTAATGACAGCTGGTGGCAGAGAGGCACACAAACCGAGACAAAGACATCAGAAAGGAATTATTCTAACAAATCACAGCGCAGCGCAATAGTTCATAATCAGCAATTAGCTAATTTAATGGAGCCAAAGTTGAGTACTTCCATACTTGTAGTGCACAAGAGGCAGACAATATAAAACCCACACAGAAGCAGGGAAGCTATAAAACCCGCCGCAGAACAATCCTGCAAATGATATTAAGAAACATATTTACAGTAACAACCATGCTAATTTGTTGCCCGTGGTTGCTTTGGAGTATACGTAAATCCTGTCTGAGAATGTTAGCGTAGAGATGAATTGTGTCAAATTTAATTTACAGCCGTTTAAATTCATCATCGTCCATTTCTGCGGCATCATCCGCCACACAATAGTTCCCAAGCAGGTAAGCTACAGATTTCAAATACAAAAGAGCAAAACAAGTTTCTGTGTGGTCTAGACAAGCTGCCTGCCAGATGTTGCTCAGCACAGACCGCGTGCCAGGTACAGGAACTGTCACTGCATGTTATCCCTCAAGTGAATGAGAGGGTGTGTTAAAGAGTAAAAGATCATGCTGTATCCGACTTGCAGCAGAAGAAAAAAAAAAGTAAAATAGCTGCTGATAGAAACCAAAATGTCATTTAAAGTGCAATCTCTTATCCGACACTTAAGATGTATTGCAACGTGTCACGGCGACACACTCTCCAATAAGCCAAAACGAACACTTTAAAGTCACTAAAATTAGGTATTAGGTTTTTCTGTGATTTGTTCACAATTGTAAGAGAACCATCGCTACTTCAAGCACCAGCAGGCCAAAATGGTGCATTTCATGGAAAGAACAAGACCCTTGGGGCTAAGGCTGGGTGTCACACAAAGGGCTGAGAGCTCACCTAACGGTGTCTACCCTGATCTCCCTCTCACTTTCAGTGTCGCAGAAGCCATGTGAATGACATCACTCCTCACATTTCAACAAGACAAACTCATTCTTCTTATTTACCGTCTGCTACTAGTCATAAATCCTATGTCTGGTTCGCTGTTCACCTTTTAACCTCTTATACTCAACAAGACAACTCATTCTCTGAAAACTTCTCCATGCAAATTGCTGATAGACATCTCCAGTGGTTTCCTTATCTCCCATCTGCAGGGATCTCCACGGTACAGATTCAGAGCTAGTTCTTTTAAAGACCGTTCAGGCATCCTAAATCACTTCTGCTAATAAAACCAACATGAATCAATGATGTTTAATTGCGACTACAGAATTATTTCTGTATAAATGTATTTACTGGTCATTAAGGTCTGACAGGTATGACAAATCCGAGGAACTGTGTAATTGGGTAGGGACATGTCACCACCTGCATGTATTGCCATTCACAAAGTTCAGATTCTTCCCCTGATAAAGTCAAAGAATCCCAGCGGTGTATCAGTCAGCAGAGGCTGTTACCTGGAGCCATGGTGCAGTGTTTCAGGTGAACTCTGAGTGAGCGTAAAGCCACACCAGCTTCAGACGACGGGCTCTTTGTTCCACTTCGTGTCTCACTAGACACGGACAGAGGGGGGGGGAACACTGAGTAACACACCTTTGGTGCACCAAACCTCTTTGTTGATGGGCCAAATGTCATGGAAATGGACCAAAAATGGTTTGCAAGGCAATTAGGTAAGCACTGTGTGGTTTGGCTCAGAAGATGAATATATTAACAATCTGTTGAGTGAGTGACTACCAGCGGTAATTTGATTCAACTCAAGTCATGATCTTGATGATCTGACTCAATGATTTTCCATTAAGACACAAAACAGAATCTGATTAACAATCAGCCAAAAGTGTTTTCCCTCCCATAGAAGCGGCTAAATTAAATAAGCCAGCTTTATTCTAATTTAATATATAATAGATTTTGTTTTTACCTGCTAATTTTTTGAGGTTACAAGATATTAAAAAAAAGAAATGTAAACAGCATCCCATATTCTGAGTCCAATCTCTATCTCTACAATACATTCACCCACTGAGTTAAATTCACCTGTTAAACTGCTTATTAATGCAAACAGCTAATCAGCCAGTCACACTACAGCAATGCATTTAAGCATGTAGACATGGTCAAGATAACCTGAAAATGGTCAAAACGGGCATCAGGAATGGCTGTGTTGATACCAGACATCAGGGGAGAATGACCAGACTGCCATATAACCACTTGTTACAATCAAAGCACGTAGAAGACCATCTCTGATGACACAACATTTAAAACCTCAAAGCTAATGGGTAAGAGTAGCAGAAGACCACAACC